AGGCTCGTCCCGGGGCTCGTCCCGAGGCTCGTCCCGAGGCTCGTCCCGAGGCTCGTCCCGAGGTTCGTCCCGAGGCTCGTCCCGGGGCTCGTCCCAAGGCTCGTCCCGAGGCTCGTCACCACTCCCGCTTCGCCCACCCCCCACCCTCCATCCCCCTCGGCGGACGCGGGGCAACGGCGAACAACGAAATAAAACAAAACAAAAATACTGGAGGAGCTGAGCTTGTGAAAGTTCGGTCCAGGGGCAGGCAGCAGGCGGACACGTTTGTAAAAGCCTGGCTCGTACAGCGGCGCTCTTGCCCCTCGGCCCAGGGCTCGGCCCAGGGGCAGCAGGGCGGCCACCGCGGCGGCGAGAAACTCCCTCCCCGCAGGATAGGCTACAGCCTCCCCATACAAGCGTGTATAAATCTCGGGATTCGCCGCTTTACAACCCCCACCCCATACTTTTTTTCACCCTGTTTCTCTGGTGGAAGATGGGGAGGGGGTGGGGGGGGGCAAGAAAGAAAAGGAAATAGTTCAGCACAGCAGTTACCTCCAAAGTCACATCTCGTTGATCCAGCCACCTGCGGGGCGCAGGCCGTGCATCGTCTTCGAGGAGAGCCGTTCCTTTCTCTAGTCTGAATTGAAGTACTCGCCAAACGGATTTTAACGGCCTAGCGCCACACCTTTGTCCGACTGTTTCTAGAGCAGTTCATCCTCACAAAAAACCTCGTCACACACAGGAACAGCTAAGAGCAGCACACTATGAACTTCTTTCGAACGAATGTGGCTACTTTTTAATTGCGAACCAATTGGAAACGATTTCCTCTGAAGCGCTTACAAAGCAGTCAAATCCTTCGCGATGCGAGCGAATCGTCTGGGCGGCGGATGTAAAAAAGCAAAAAGCATTCAACCTGAAAATATCTTGAGCTTTTGTTTGCCGAATGGCGCCTTGATTATTTTAGCGAGAGGAGATAGGAGAGAAAGGCGCAGAACAAACGCCTTTTCAACCCCTCTCGATTTTTACCCCCACCCCTCTCTCTCTTTCATCGGTGCATCGTCCTGTCTCTGACTGTGGAGACAAAACAAGCCCTGCTTCGTCAACTTCAATAAAAACCAAATCGGTAATAAAAATCGAACTGCGCGGGCTATTTCCGCGCCGCCGCCGGCGGGGATGGGTGGAGTGGGCGGCAGGGTGAGGTAGGGCGTGGCGGAGCGCAGAAGCAAGGGAACGAAACGGTCCTAGTCAACTTTACGGTGAACTCACGCGGCCGCGTTGCATTAAAGCTCTCTCTCTCTCTCTCTCTCTCTCTCTCTCTCTCTCTCTCTCTCTCTCTCTCTCTCTCTCTCTCCCTCCCTCCCTCCCTCTGCTTTACCACCCCCGTCAAAAGCCACCCCTCCCAGTCTCTCAGTCTTCCCCCATGACGTCGTTGCTGTCCTTTCTCTTTCTCTCTCTCTCTATCTCTCTCTCTCTCTCTCTGGCAAAACAAAAGAGAATCGGGTGAAAGGGACCAAAAACTCAAGCCTGCCTCGAATGTCCTACGACTACACTACGGCCATGCTGGGCTGCTGCTGCCAAACCATAGCGCACACGCCCGTTTCTGTGTAAGTGTGTGTGTGTTTGGTGTGTGTGTTTGTGTGTGTGATTGCGCGCCAGGGTCGTAATCAGAATGAGGTTCACCATTTTCCGTACATGTGTATGTGTGTGTGTGTTCACGCCGGTGCGCGTGCTTGTCCGTGTGCGAGTTGTAGAAGATGGAGAGAGAGGGGAGGGGAGAGAGAGGAGGGGAGGAGAGGGAGGGGAGGAGAGAGAGGGGAGGGGAGAGAGGGGAGGGGAGGGGAGAGAGGGGAGGAGAAGAGCTGGCGTGGAAATCCAAAGCGTAATGCGGCGCGCGGTGGCTGATTTCTGCATGAAGATAGCACCCCCGATTTATCGCGTGCTCTTCGGCGGTGCGGCTTTGTGGTGTGGTGGGGGGGGGGGGGGCGGGGCGGGGCGGGGCGAGAGTAAGTTTCCTGGGCGAGGAAAGGATGAGGGGAAGGGGGAGGACTTCGGGTTCCTTCTCCCCCCTGCTCATCCGCAGCTGCCATGCCATAGTCTAGCCGGCGAGCCACTAGATTTCATATCAGAAAATGGAGAGTGAAGCGCGTCTTTACATTCGGTTCAAGGAGAGACAGGGAGAGGGGGGGGATGACAGGAGAGAGAGAGGGGGGGGGTGATGGGGTCGCGCCCGCCAGTCGTGCCATCATCGTGAGATTGAGCCGGGCGCGTACGAGGGATGGGTCGTGCGCCATGGCCTCCGGGGCGTCAGGAGGCCCCGGGGCGCGCGGGTCGGGTCGGGTCGGACGACGCGAAATGTCATGTCATGCCTACTAACGGCCACATCTAAATAACAGATTTAATGATATAACGCACGGCGTTGAGACAAACGCGTTGCGCGCGCGCCAACAGCGGCGAACCCCGCAGAGCTATATGGAAGGCGCAAGGTCGGCATGAGCCGGGATCCGGGCCGGGGTTGTCGAGATGATGCCGAGCGACACGACACGACGGCCGGAGCGGCGGCCGGAGCTCATGCGGACAGACAAGGAGGGACGCCGCGCCCGTACATCAGCCGGCCGGGCCCGGGCCGGGCGCCATACATCACGCGTGCCCACCCCGCCGGCACACCACGCCCCGCCCCGCCCCACCAC